TGAACCATTTATTAAACTGGTATGCCACCCTTCTCTCAGTGACTCTGGGCGGCTCACAACAATCAAAGAAAGAAATTACAATAAAATCAATAAAATATAAAAATATAAAAATAAAAGATGGCAAGCACAATCATCTCGTGTGTTCTTTTTCCTCTTCTCTGGAGTAAACAATTCCTCTCTGCCTCACCCTCCCCTCCCACACCGAGAAAATGGCTTCCAGGAAACAATCTCTGTGGTGGCAACGGCTGCTCTACTATCCTCGGGTTCACACAGACAGAAGCTCTTGTTCTGGGGCACCAGTTTCCCAACATGGAGCATGACATCCTTTCTACATCTTCTGGAGGCTTCCTGAGACCGACTTAGCCTTGCCCAGCCTTGCCCCTGTCCTCTCCACTAACCTTCAGTGCCAACCAGTCCACCCCACCCTGTATTCCCCAGATTCTCCAGACCTTGAGGACTTGCCCACCTGCTAGCCAGCCCCCTAAACTCTTCCACAGGATGCTGATGTAGACTCCAGTCCATGGACCAAGCCAGGCCCAGTTTTTAGTTAAGAAAGACAGATTTACAAGTCTGCCTACCTTCACCATCTCCAACATAACTGCCAGTAACTTTGATAAATGTTCAATGTTAGTTGGAAATTTCCTGCTAAAAATGGTTTAAGACTGTTTCCTGCCCAAGTTTCCAAAATTAACATATTTATTCGTTGGTACTTGATGGCCTTGGAAATAAGCAGCTGCTTCTTCTTAATCTAACAGCCATCTTTGGATTGAGAAATGCTGGCTCTGGGGTTAACTCTTATCTGCAGAGTAGGTTGAGAAATGGACACTCAGGGAGTTTAATTAGATGTTGTTCTTGCGTTGACTTCAAGTGGGACCTTAAGCAAACCAAAAGATGCTGAGTTCACACTGTCAGATTCAGCGCAGCACGGCCAAACAGCGGCACTGTTTCAGGTTCACCGTCGCTAGTCAGTTTCACCGCGTCAGGCATACGGCCGGGAAGGGTAAACAGGCAACCGCAAGTCAGTTGCCAACAGGTGGTGGCAATTAACCCGGGGTGAGAACAAAGGGGAAACAGGTACCTTGTGACACAGCTGGCTTCCCCAAACGCCCCAGGCAACGGCAACCATAATACTCAAGGAACTCGGCAATCCAGCAACGATCAACCACCAATTAAAAACTCTGGTTTTTCCTGCAGAAGAAAAGCTCCACGAGCATAGCGATTATGAGACAAAGAAGCAGGCTGAATCTGCCATTAGAAGAAGGGATGGGGAGCTCAACAATGGAAGGGCGACCCAAGTATGGGCAGGGGCGGAAGCCAGGTGTACTGCGGGGTCAAGGGGGGAAACCCCATATAAAGACTGTAAGGAATGTGCCAAGCCAATCCTGGCTTTGGCTGTAACCATTATGCATTACACCCGAGTAAAGTAACTTTCATCTGAGCCTGTGTCTCACAAGGTTTTTATTCAGTGTTGAATATGGCGATCCTTACACACACAGCTCATTAACCACAAAAAAACTAACCAAACACTAATCAGAGTAGGTATTGGTGGGAATGTTTCTATTAGGATATAATTCATAGCCCATTTCTCTATGTAAAAAGGTTTGAGGAAGGCAGTCAACCTGGTGATCACTGATAGTGTCAACCAACCAAATATGGAGCATCTCTCATGGGTTCTGGTAAAGCTTCACCAGGGAGCTTCACCAGAAAGAGCAAGATTGAGTATCTGAGTGCCAGGAAGGGTTTCAAACTTGTCCCAAAGACTGAGAAGAATCCTATATTCTCCTGTGGGTGTCCAAGACCTTCTGCAGAGCCCTCCTTACCTCCTGGTTACGGAGACTGTAAATCAAGGGATTCATCATGGGGATGACAATGCAATACATTGTGGAAATCAAGGTGTCAGTCTCCAAAGAATAGCCAGCAGTTGGTTGATAATAATTAATCGATCCATTACCAAAGAAAAGGATGACCACCAGCATGTGAGAAGAGCAGGTGGAAAAAGCTTTCTGCCTGCCTGAGTTGGAGCGGATCTGCAGGATGGACACAAGGATGTAGATGTATGAGATGGCAACAAAAAGGAAAGGGGCGAGGCCCACAAAAAATGTGGCTGTGTGGATTGCTATCTCACTGGCAAATTTGTCACCACAGGCAATTTTCAGCAGCGGTGGGAGATCACAAAAGATGTGATGGATCTGATTGTCTCCACAGAAACGCAACCTGGAGGCCAAGGCAGCATGGATGGCTGAATCCACAAAGCCCCAGATCCAGATGATAATGGCTGCTTGCACACAAATACGTGGACTCATGAGGTGTGAATAGCGCAAAGGCTGACAGATAGCAGCATAGCGGTCGTACGCCATGATGGCCAGAAACCAGCATTCTGAGCCAGAACAAGTCATCAGGAAGAACATCTGGGCAAGACAGTGGTTGTAAGAAATGGTGTGTCTTTGGAGAAGGAGGTTTGCTAGGATCCTGGGGACCGTAACTGATGAGTAGCAAATGTCCAAGAAGGATAAGTTGCAGAGGAAAAAATACATGGGACTGTGAAGGTGAGAATCCACCACAATGAGGGTTATGATCGTGATGTTGCCCAGAATGGTGACCAAATAGAGGGTGAGGAACACCCCAATGAGGTAGACCTGGCCATGCATGATGTTGGAGAAGCCCAGAAAAACAAACTCCCTAACAAGAGTCTGGTTCCTGAAATCCATGGGAGTGTAGCGATTGCGTGTAGCAAATATGGTCAAGGAGAGCAAAAGGGTCACCAAATGAGACTTTTATTACCTCCACCCATAGACTTTGCTTCTTCAGATCTTGTAGTGGATTAAACAGTCTGCACATCCAATTGTTGCACTTACTAGAGGTTCACAGAGCAGCTAATGTTTTACTTTTGTAAGTTGAAGTCTTTCCATCCTCAGAGAACCTGTTGTTTCTCAGATTCCATACCTCTTTCAACTGGGTCCAACTAATGGCAAACTCAAAGACTGTTTTGTCTTTTTTGCAACTTTGGAAATGATCCTCCTGCTGATTAAACCCCAGCAGTCAAAGCAGTGTGACCTAGCAGGGAAAAAAGATGGGGGGGGGAGAATAAAACCACATCATTATCATTTGTTAGGAACCATGGTGTTAGATCTACCTCACTGTCCCACCAAGGAAGAAGAAACTCTGGAAAACTGTGCAGCTGAAATCCCCATTGTCAGTTCTGCAGGATCCCTGGAGCAGTGCCCAACTCCCTTCAGATGGCTGGGTCTTAGTGGTTGGTATGAACATCTGGAGAGTCCACAGGTAGGTCTTAAGTCATGAGAACAAAGGATACATCGTCTTCAATCAATTTGACCTGACCTGGTGCCCCATATTGCTTTCCAGGTACCTTTGGGTTCAAGGCTATAGGCTGCTCACCATTTCAGTGTTCCTCTTCTCTTTGTTCCCTACTGAGTAGTATAGTGAGGTTGGATGGCTCAGTGAATGGAATCAATGCATACATTTATATCTGCTACATTTACTGTGTTTGGGAAAAGAAGTCAGTCCTGAGGAAAATATTTCCATTAGATCGTGAGGCATCAGAAGTGACTGACTGAACACAAAATTCCCAGAATTGCTACCAAAATGAACCACTGAAGCCAAACAGAGAACAAGGGGCAGACCTGCTCAGCTGCTGGGTCTAAGGCACAATGGGTTCCTGTCACTTTTCCTCCACTTTAGAGTTCCTTCTTCCTCCTCATTTCAATAATGATTCTCAATTGTTTCAGTAATGTGGGGCTGGATCCAGCCCAAGGTAAGCCCTTGGACAATCCATTGATCTTCAAGGGACACCCAAGAAAATGCTTGACTTGCTCTTGGCTTTAGCACAGAGAGTCTTGCCCCCTCTTGACAGCTTTAAAGGTCTTTGTAGGACACTGTTCCACCTCCTCTAAATGAACGTCCAACTTCATTTAGAATCCAGTCATCATATGGTACGAACGCAGCTCGTTAGAGAAAGGTGTCAGCCCTATAAGGTAGATCAGAGCAGACCAAGAAACCAATGTCACCTAGGTCTAAAGCAACTTTGATTGTGACAGCAAGTGAATGTGCTTCGCCTCCCCTTGCTTTATCTTCCTATGAATTAGGGAAGGGATTGTCTGAGATGCTTTCTCAAATGAGTTTTTTGGAAAGGATTCAAGGCCCACTTGTCTGATCGTTGCCTTGGTAGCAGCTCTTCTTCCTGTCCTTCAAAGCCATTCTCCATGTCCTCTAGAAAAAGAATCTTGCTAGTTTAGCAGATTTAAATAGCATAACAACTGGAAATGCCTTGCTGGATTCCAGGAAACAATGACATCTGCAAGCTGGATTAAGGGTCTTTGGGATCAGAAGGACAAGGTGGTGCTGTTGGTCTGTGAAGCTGCTTCAGGAGTTCTTGCCCAGTGGATGGAGACATTAGGGTGAGGGTACCTCTTCCAAGATGCCTTTTGCAAGCACATAAGCAACAGTTTCCTCTTTGGGTTCCTCACCAAATGTTATCCTGAGATACATCATCTCTGAACATGGAAGTTCCATCTTGTTACCATGGCCAATAGCCAGTGATTTGCCATCTAAGCTATAATCTCCATACAGGATCCACAATTTACTTCCATTGTGAAGATGTTCTTGGTCTGACTGTCTTGAATTTGATCCAAACAGCTCCCTTGCCTGTCAGGTAAGAAAGGAAATAGAAAAAGGTATCTCTGTAAGTTTCCTGCACCCAGCTTTGATCCAGGGTGCTGCTCTGAAGGGGCACCTTGGTCAAAACTTTGCCCAGTCAAAGCCCATCTTTGGAGCAGGACATAGTCTTAGGAGGAATAGAAAGGGCTGGGTTGTCAGGAGTTAAATCTGTTGTCCCCTCAGAGGGGAGAAACTCTTTGCCATGTCTGAGATCCCCTAAATGGAGATTCCCGGGTTGAAGCTTGCATTCCTGGTCAGTCACTTCCCTCTCCCTGCCAATGCCTCTCTCTCCTTCCAGAGTCTCCCTGGAAAGTACAAAAAGAGGATGCTGGATGGACCACAAAGCAACTCACCTGTGGATGAAGCAGAATCACCTTCTCCCCATGTTCTCCCACAGTCGGGTGCATGACCATTGAGAATGGAGGTGGCTCAGTCAACAGTCTGCCAGCAGGGCAGGAAGGGAGATGTTCAGAAGCTCATTCTTGCAATAGAACCAAGTCTCCCAGTTGCCTGCATCATCCATGGCAGGTGGTGCCCATGGGGGAAATGTGCTTTGGCGTGCGGGCCCTGAGAATATTCCTGCTCTGGATTCTGCAGGGAATAGAGCTGGGAGAAGCAGTGGGGGCCCTCTGGGGCCAAACTCTCTCATCTGGGGCTTGCTAGTCAGCATAGTGATGGTTTAATTTGTTGGGGGTTGGCAGGGCTGGGCAAAGAAGAGGGCAAAGCAAACTCCCTTTTACCCAGATCTGAAGTGTAACCAGGTAGGAAGAGAAAACTAAAATTAATTATTTCATTTCTTATTAACCGACGTTCTAGAAATGCATTTATAGCCATTTTTAATAGAAAGTACTTCAATAACTGCCCTCCCTTTCATCCAGTATAACTATACCAGTAGTCCTTGTTTAACGACCCCAACTGGGAGCAGCAACTCTGTCACTAAGCGACACGGTTATTAAGCAAGACTTCAAGTGATCACAATGGACATGACCTCACTTATGGGCAACGGGGGCAAAGGTGGCAGCGGACAGCACTTGGACCCACAGGGACGACGGTGGCTGCGATGGTGGCGGCAGTGGCGGCGGGAGAGTGCTGGTGGCAGGTGCCGAGGTTGCGCCGTCTGGGCCGAGGACAGCACCTGGGCTCGAGTGGCGCTGGAGCTGAGAGTCAGTGCAGCTGGCTGGGAATGCCTGCGGAGCGAAGGCCCAGGCCCAGTGCAGCGGGATGGCGGCGTCAAGAGCACCAGGGGCAAGGCTGAGGCAGACCCGACGGTGACAGCGGAGCGGAGGCCAAAGCCCGAGGCCCCACAGTACCCGAAGCCCATAGAGACATCGGGGCCTTGGGGGTTGTGGGTGCTAGCCCCCACGTGGCAAAGGGGCTTCCCTTACCCCTAGAGAAGAGGCCGGGGGGACTGGAGCAGTTCTGGGGTGTGTGGGTGTGGGGTGCGTGGATGTTGCATGAATGTGCTACCCTCTGCCTGGATGGGAGACGGGAAGAGGGGAGGAGTGGATGTGGCCCTCTTCCCACTGGCCAGTGAGAGAAGCCGGTTGAGAGAGGGAGGGAAGGGGGAGTTGGGGTGACTGAGCCCCTGGTGGGCCTGGGAGGCGATAGCTGGAGTGCCACAGGGGCCCATTCCCCCCCAATTCTCCTCTTGCCCTGTGTGGTTCATGGTATGGCGGGCCCCTTAGGTCGGAGGCCAGGAGGGTGGGGGAAGGAGCACCTTGGGCGATTCAGGGTGGGTATTCAGGTGATGACGGGCATGGGACATTATGACGGGAGCCAGAGGGCAGGCCATTTCAGGGGAAGATGCCCCCGATGCGTTATACCGGTGGCGTGTTCCAGCCCTTGGGGCTCCAGCCCAGACCCTGGTCAGCAGGCCTGCAGAGACCCGGGCTTTTGGCTGCTGCCGATGAATGCCAGGGCGGTCAATAATAACCCCCCCCCCCTTATTCACAACCTTATTGGGGAGGAGCAGGCTGACCTGGCATGTATTACCGAGATCTGGCTGGCACCAGAAGTGGGGGTGGCCCTTTCGGAATTGAGTCCAGCCGGGTTTAGGGTTTGGCCCCGGCCGAGATCCAGGACAGGGGGAGGGGGCGTGGCAGTCGTCATCCAGGAATCTCTGCGGGCCTTCAGGGGCTCTGCTCCACAAGTTGCCTGTGGCATTCCCCATAGTTTACGGAGGAGTTAAGGGAGCTGAAAAGGGCCAAGAGACGTCTTGAGTGTTGCTAGCGGAAAAGTAAAGACGAGTCCAACCAAACACGGGTTAGAGCCACTATTAAGGCCTACCTAGTGGCAGTAAGGGCGGTGAAATCCCATTATTTCTTCACTCTCACTGCATCCTCAGAGCGTCGCCTGTTCAGGGTCACTTGGTCCCTCCTGGGCAGGGAGGTCTCAGAAGACCACCTACAGGGCAGCGCAGAGGAATTTGTGGAACACCTGACAGATAAAATCACTCAGATCCATTCTCAGTTGGAGACCAAGCATGATGCAGGTCCAGTGGAGATGCCCGGGGAGCAGACTTACCCCATTATCTGGGAATGGTTTGATCCTGTTTGCCCTGAGGAAGTTGATAGGGTCCTCGGGGCTGTTAGTGTGGCTACCTGTATTTTGGATCCTTGTCCCTCCTGGTTGGTTAAAGCCACCAAGGAGGTAACTTTGGGGTGGGTACCGGCGGTGGTCAATTCATCCTTGCAGGAGGAGGTGTTCCTGAAGCCTTTCAAGGAGGCTTTGGTCCGGCCCCTCCTCAAGGAACCATTGCTAGATCCTACCCTTCTGGACAATTTTCATCCAGTCTCCCACCTCCCCTTTCTAGGAAAGGTGATGGAAAAGGTGGTTGTGCAGCAGCTTCAGAGCATCCTAGAGGAAACAGATTATCTGGATTCCTATCAGTCAGGGCTCAGGCCCAGTTATGGGACAGAAACAGCATTGGTCGCACTTTTAATTGATCCCTGGCAAGAGCAGGATGGGGGTAGTGCATCCATCCTTGCTCTTCTTGACCTCTCAGCAGCTTTTTGATACCATCGACCGTGGTATC